TTTTTTTTTTAAATTAAAGTATTTTCAACAAAAAAACAAGACAATTATGATTGTTACGATAAAGAACTGAATAAGGGGACTGCCAAAGAGACTTGAGTTAACTTCCGGCTCATTTCGCGGAATATAGGCTTGGCCTACTTGTCACAAAAATGTACACAAGTCGGCTATTCTTAGTGGTGGAGAGGCAACTTTAGAAGTCCAGCGGCTTCCTCGCGAGAAGGTCAATGCTCACCGAGCTGGCCACTAGTAAACTCTCTTTTTAGGTGACAGGATTCGTTTCGCGTATTGACAGCCCAACATCCGCTTAAGCATCTTCCGGTACTTGCCCCAGTAGACGATGTAGACAAAAAAGTTTGCCGTTGAGTTCATCTGTGAGCCAAGTGTGGCCACATAGGAGCAGACGTGAAGAGTGATAAAGTAGGTACAACTGGAAGTAAAGAAGTGATGTGAAAGCAGCTGAACAATACTCACAGGCACCATGGGCAGCATGAACAGAGTGAAGGTGACGATGACAATGAGGAGGCCACGGGTCAGTTTAACGCGTCGCGCAACACTGCAGTTGGAGCTGGTGCTAGAAGTCGACGCTCTCTGTCGCTCTGGATGTTTCCCCTGCCCCCAACGAAAATGATCCGACTGCTGCAGACCACGTCCAATCTGCAGACTGCAGACAATTAGAATAATCAGTGGGATTAGCGTGACCAGTATGCTGTCAGTGAAGGAGTGCAGTTGGTAAAGCCAAGCCGTCACTGAACCCTTTGGTTTTACGCTCTCGAGTGACAGGTAGGAGATGAGCGGGAGTCGAACCACGACGGAGAATACAAAACAAGCGGCCATGAGGCTGTCAGTAATCTTCCCAGTCCACCACACTTTGCTGCGAACGGGAAAGCAGATGACTAGGAAGCGTTCCACGCCGATGAGTACAACCAACCAATTCCTGAAACATTCAAGAATGTTAACGAACGAGAAAATTATGTTGGTTAGAAGGAGCCGTCGCAAGGGACTACTACGTTTGCAAAAGGTCAGTGGTTGGAGATAGAGCAGAGAAAAGAGGAGAAACTGGACATCAATCAGAGAGGTGACGATCAGAAGCTTGCAGGTTGTTCGCGGCGTTGTCTTGTCACGACAGAACAGGCAGATACTAAGGCCGCTGGTGACAATGCCAACCATACACACCGGCAAGCCGAGGACAGAGAGGAGAATTAGCCGATTGCAACGTAGAAAAACCTTGAATGTTGGACCCTCAGGCCAGGCTTCCTGCAGAATACACGGAATGCTGTTATTACCGGTTGTATTAGCGGCCATTTGGTATTAACTAAACTCGCGAAGCAGACGACATTATTCTGCAGTATTCAGGGTGCAGTCGCTTGTCTGGTTATATGCCCTAGTTCTCTAGCTGTAGACAAGCTGTCACGTTTGTATACAATGTGCTACTGGCCAAATCTTCTGGCCAATCAAATTACGAAAACTCAGGGCGTGCGTTCGGGTTATAACAGCGGCTGATTAAGGCCGGCCGGCCGACTGACCAGTAAATGTATCCGCTTTGTGAAATTGACAATTTACTTGGTAGACTGCAGCATTTGTAACTGGTTTTGATAAACAGAAAATTGGTTTTTTTTTCTAGGGCTTTACGTTATGAATGCCAGAAGGCGCATTCGAAACAAAATGAGCAGAAATCTCAAATTTGTTTAAGGTGACATACAGACGGTGCGCTTTTGAGCCTCGATTCCCATTCGGGTGCGAAATATAAATGCAAAATAATCAATTAGGGTTTTAAAGTTGCGAACATTCCCATCAGATAATTCAGAAGAGTATTTGGCGTGCATGCGCAGCTTTCGTACCCATCCAACGGAAGCGTAACTTGATCGCTGTTTAACGCCAGCAGGTTGTAACAGTCGTGACGTAGGCATAGCCCATCGACTTCAAGCGTCAATACGCCGCCAAGTGATGCAACCTAAAGACCGACTGCCCCCTACAGAAACCTCTGCGGTCGTCTACCAGATACTTTGCAATGAGGGAGACTGCAATTATGCTGGAGAAACAGGCCGCAAATTGCAAATCCGCCTAAAAGAGCACAAACGAGTGGTCCAGAGACTGGACCA